GACACTGAGGAACACTGAGACTCAGGAACCTCATAGGGCGGGACTAACCGGAAGCCAAGGCCGTAGGCTCCACCCTGAAACTCTGCCCCATCCAAGTTGAGCACAGAGGCTCTTGCAGTTTTCCAAGTCTAGTCCAATAAGGCTGTCTCCTGGCATAGATACAGCTGATCCTCCCACCCTACCAACTCAGGGAAGCAGCAAAAATGCCGAGACAAGGAAACAGATCACAAACAAAAGAAATGGAGGACAAAAAGCGACTGGATATAGAGTTCAAAACCATGCTTATAAGGTTTTTCAAGAATCTTCTAGAAAAGGCCAATAAAATAAACAAGACCTATGAAGATATGAAAAGGGATCAACTAGAAACAATAAGGGATCAACAAGAAATAAAGAATATATTCTCTGAAATAAAAAAATATTATACAGAGTCCTAAAAACAGAATGGAAGATTGCAAGAATCAAGTCAAAGACTTGGAACACAAAGAGCCAGAGGACACTCCTCTGCAGAAGCAAGAAGACAAGAGAATCCAGAAAGTTGATGATAGTATAAGAAACCTCTGGGACAACTTCAAGCATACCAACATCAGAATTATGGGCATCCCAGAAGATGACAGAAAGCAAGATACTGAAAACATATTAAAAGAAATAGTGACAGGCCGAAACCGGTTTGGCTCAATGGATAGAGCATCGGCTTGGGGACTGAAAGGTCCCGGGTTCGATTCCGGTCAAGGGCATGTACCTTGGTTGCGGGCATATCCCTAGTAGGGGCTGTGCAAGAGGCAGCTGATCGATGACTCTCTCTCATCGATGTTTCTGACTCTCTATCTCTCTCCATTCCTCTCTGAAGAAATCAATAAAATATATTTAAAAAAAAAAAAAAAAAGAAATAGTGACAGAAAACTTCCTTCACCTGGTGAAAGAAATAGACTTACAAGTCCAGGAAGCACACAGAACCCCAAACAAAAGGAATCCAAAGAGGACCACACCAAGACACATCATAATTAAAATTCCAAGAGCAAAAGACAAAGAGAGAATATTAAAAGCAGCAAGAGCAAAGCAGGTAGTTACCTATAAAGGAGCACCCATACGATTGTCAGCTGATTTCTCAACAGAAACCATGCAGGCCAGACGGGAATGGCAAAAAATATTCAAGGTGATGAATAACAAGAACCTACAGCCAAAAATACTCTACCCAGCAAAGCTATCACTCAGAATCAAAGGCCAGATAAAGAGCTTCACAAATAAAATAAAAAAAGCTAAAGGAGTTTATCACTGCCAAACCAGAATTATATGAATTGCTGAAGGGGGTTCTTTAGGAAGAGGAAGAAAATAAAGACAAAAATTATGAACAACAAATATGTAACTATCAACAAGTGAATCTAAAAACCAAGGGAATTAAAAAACCTGATGAACAATATTAACTGTTGAATATAATAGAATCAGAGGTACGGAAAGGGAGTAGACTGACAATTCTCAGGGAAAGAGGAGAAGGGGGTGCGGGAAGAGACTGAACATAAACTGTGCACCTATGGATGAGGACAATGGGGAGTGGGGAAAGGGCAGAGGGTGGGGTGGGAACCTGGTGGAGGGGAAAAAAATGAGGAACTTTTGTAATAATATGAACAATAAAGATTTATTTAAAAAAAGAAAAGAAAAGAAATGACAGACACATGAAATAAATTTTACATTTTATGTGTATGGATGAAACATAAAAAGTTTCTTAAGCCAAAACCAGTTTGGTTCAGTGAATATAGTGTCAGCCTGCATACTGAAGGGTCCCAGGTATGATTCCAGTCAAGGGCATGTACCTTGGTTACTGGCACATCACCAGTAGAGGGTGTGCAGGAGGCAGCTGATCAATGTTTCTCTCTCATTGATATTTCTAGCTCTCTATCCCTCTTCCTTCCTCTCTGTAAAAAAAAAATCAATAAAATATTTTTTTAAAAGTTTTTTATAAATTAAAGAAAGCATTAGGATAAAAGAACAGGTGATACAGAGATAGCGTATAAATTCTGAGACAATACATAAATCACTCAAGCTTGTAGAAAACACTGCTCACCACACCACCACACAAGAACAGCTAAGCACCTGTTTGTTCCATACTGTACTCAAATTTGACTACAGTCACATATAACTCTGACTCTGCTCAAGGAAGATAAAATGTGGCTGCTTTGAGGGAAAGAGCATAACATCAGTATAATTTAACACAAATCCTCCTTAACACAGTATTGGTTAACATAAATACTGGTTTGGTGGTCCAACTCCTCTGTTTATCCACCAAACACCTTATTAAATCCAGTCCTCTTTTCTGGGCCTCAGTTTCACTTTGTCAAAAGAAAGATACCAAAAGTAGACTCTAAGGTCACTTCCAGTTTTAGAATTTCATAAACTGTTGTAAGATCCTAAAATCCCAAATTATTTTTTCTAGAACCATAGAGGCTCCAATCCTAAATGAGTGTCAATCTGAGAGATAAATGGTCAGTCTGTTTCCAAACGGCAAAGTATTACAACAAAATCCTATATAATCCTTTATATAATAAAAGGCTAATATTCAAATTGACTGATCACTATGATGCACAGTGACCACCAGGGGGCAGACGCTCAACGCAGGAGCTGCCCCCTGGTGGTCATTGTGCTCCCTCAGAGGGAGCAGCACTCAGCCAGAAACTGGGCTCACAGCTGGCAAGCCCAGTGGCAGTGGCAGGAACCGCTCCCGCCTCCAAAGCAGTGCTAAGGACCCCTCAGGAGATGTCCTCCTGCTGGCTTAGGCTGGCTCCCTGCTAGACTGCGAGAGAGTGCAGGCCTTGCTGAGGGGGCCCCCCTACACACACACAGTGCACGTATGTTGTGTACCGGGCTTCTAGTATGTGATAAAGTCCTGCGGGAGTACTGATCCACAACACATTCTCCAATGAATGGCATCCCAGGCCATTATCCCTCAACTGGGAATGCTATCAATTATGCTGCCCTCTAGAAAGATGCAGCAAAACATGAATTAAAGGATGATAAAGACCAGCCAATCAATATACCTGTCCCAAACAAAACTTTAAAAATTTCCTGCCACTACCCTAGTTAGTTTGGCTCAATGGATAGAGCCAACCACCTAAGGGTCTGAGTTCAATTCCTGGTCAAGGGCCATGTTCCAGGCACGTGTGGAAGGCAATCAATGGATGTGTCTCTCTCACATTGGTGTTTCTCTCTGTTTCTCCCCCTCCTTTCCACTCTCTCTGAAAAATCAGAGGACTATTGCCTTGGAAGAGGATTAACAACATCAACAAATTTCCTGCCATTAATTTTTAAATTATTAATTTATGTTACATTTGGTCCTTCATGTGTTTTTTCCAGTCCTTAACAATCAAGTTTATTCTGAGTCAAGGAGAAAAATGGGAAAGAAAGAAATCTTTAAAAATCTCAAACTTAGCCCTAACTGGTTTGGCTCAGTGGATAGAGTGTCAGCCTGTGGACTGAAGGGTCCCAGATTCGATTCTGGTCAAGTACATGTACCTTGGTTGCAGGCACATCCCCAGTGGGGGGTATGCAGTAGGCAGCCGATTGATATTTTTCTCTCATAGATGTTTCTAACTCTCTATCCCTCACCCTTCCTCTCTTTAATATATATATATTAAAATCTCAAACTTATATTAAGCCTCAGATGAAAACCACCTGTAAAACTTTTCCAGTTCAATTCGAATTACTCCGCAGATGTTCAAACATATTTAGTTTGCTAGACCTCCAAAAGTTTTCACTCCTTATTTTTCAGAAACATTATTAACAAAACTGTTGGACCAGAAGATTTTTTTCTCTATTACTGAATTAGATACATTTATCAAAAGGGAAGTCTTAAGGAACCCTCCTTGCTTTCTTTACAAAGCCCTTTCTGTGATGTCAGTGGGCATGTAAACTTTTAATATAGGGTCTTTAGATTCCCAGGAATAAGTTCTGAATTGTGCTCACTTCTTGTTTAGCTGAAAAAAATAGAGGATGAGTGAGTGGGCTGCAACTGCCAAACTCAAAAAGCACAGCTGGATAGCAGGTAATCTTAAAAAAAAAAAAAAAAAAAAAAAAAAAAAAAAAAAAAGCAAATCCCTGGGCAAAATTGTGTAGCTAATGTTGATCATTATAACTGGAGAGTTGTTACATAATTACTTGTTAACTACTGACACACAATACATGGCTACAAAAAGCCATGGTTACTCTAGCCATTGAAGACAGTGTAACTAGCGCACCAGTTAAGGTTTCTCCAATTAATTTCGGGTCCTATTCCCTTCCAAGGTAACCCGACTGCTTTTACATATACAAAACAGCCTCCAGCAATTAAGCCAACAGCCTCTATAGACGAAATCTGTGTTTCCTATAATACTGATCTTTAAAGGGGAGATGAGATATAGAAAGAAGCAGGTTTAAAGAACTAAATACTTATCACCTCGATAAAAACGACTTCACTCTAAACTGGAAATTTTGTACAGAAAAGCCCCCTAACTCGATCGTCCCCTAACCCTAACCGCCCCCCGCCACACACACACACACACACACACACACATACACATACACATACACAGGTATTCGCCTGGTCCCTGCTCAGCTGGCGCTAAACACAAGACCTGTATCGGATGCACCCCATTCCAACATTTTCCAAAAAGTTTACGAAGATTTACCGAAGCGGCGGGAAGAACAATTAAGCAGACAGAAGCGGGGGAGAGCTACCTGGAGGGTTATGGCAAAGAAGAACCTGATGAAGCGCCCAGCAATGCTGTGCAAGGCCCGCTAACCGAGAAGTGACCCTGCACCCGAGGAGCAAGCGCCCCAGTGGAGCGCGGGAACTGACAGCCGCTCGGCTTATGCTGCGGGGGAGCCCCCTGTCCCTAGGCCAGTCCCCGCCGCCAGCCCCCTCCAGACCCTCCCCTGCAGAGCTGCCGTGGCCCGCTGGGTCAACTTGGCCCCGGATCAGTCAGCGCTGCGGACCGCGGCCCCGGGTGCCGAGAGGCCGCCGGCGCCCTTACCTCCTTCTGCTTGGGGTCCTGAGGGTAGACGTCCGGCGGCCCGAGGCGGGGGCGTTTCAGTGGTCTCTGCTCATAGCTGAGAAGCCCGAAGGCGGCCATGATCTCTCATGTTAACCGGCAAAATGAATGAGAGTTGGAGCTGGAGCTGGAGCAGCCGCCTCTGAGCACCAGGGAGCAGCACTTTGCAGACAGACTCCCTCTCCCCCTTCTCGCTCGCTCGCTCGCTCGCGGTGGCGCTGCAGGAAGGAATAAAGCAGGTTGGATGCTGCCTCTGCCAGGCACGCAGACACACTGATGGGGTCAGCCTCCGGCGGGCAGCCGGCTGCGCTGGAGCCCAGGACGTACCGCTTTTGTGGCGTTGGAGGGCCTGCCTCCAGACCCCTCCCTGCACACCCGGTCCCCAGGGGGAGGAGCAGCCGGTGGGAACCTGCGACTTTTCTCCCCAAAGGACCCAAACCCTCCCCAGTCGGACGCAGGGCAAGGCGTGGGGGAGGGGCACCGGGAGGAGAAGGGGAGGGGGGGAAACTTTTCTCGGCGCCCAGGCCGGTGGCCCAAGTGTTTGCCCCAGGCAGGGGTGGCCCTGCAGCCGGGGCAGAGGCAGTGGGGCGGGATCCTAGCCGCCGCCTCGCGCTCCACGGTCCCCGCCACCTGGGCGCGGAGCCGGCGGGCCGGGAGGGACGCCTGGCGGGGATGGGAGGCGGGGATGCGGCCGGCGGGAGGCGGGGATGCCTCCTGGGCGCCCGCAGGGCTCCGGGGGCGGCCGGCGGCTCCGGGCAGGCGCGGGGCCGCGCAGCCGGCGGTCGCGGCGGCCGAAGGGGGCCGCGCTCGCCGTGGCGCGGGGCCGCCTTAACCCTTTGCTGCTCCTCCGGGGGCTCGGGACGAGGTGCGGAGGGCGGGCTGAGCCGCAGGGGGCAGCCATCCCGCGGGCATCTGCGGCTCCCCCAGGCCGGCGCCCCTCCCCGCCTCCGCTCCCGCTCCCTCCCGCACCCCAACAGTTTACCTGTTGGTCCCCCGCTAAGGGGCAGGGGCCGGCGGCGGCACTCCGGCGGCCGCAGCCTCCATGGTTCAGGTTGGGTTGGGGGCGGGGTTAGATTTTATTTGGAATAGATCAGTGTCGTCCGAGCGACCTCCGGGGACGCCGCGAAGTTTGCAGCTGCCCGGGGGCGGCGGGCACGCCGCCTGGCCGCCGCCGCCGCCGTCCTCGCCCCCGGCCCGGGAGGAGCGCGAGCTTCCGAGTGGCGGCGGCGCGGCGCACGGAGCCGCACTGAGCATGCCCGGCGCGGCCCGGCCCCGGGAGTGACTACGGCGCCCGGGCCCCGCTCCGGGCTTTCCAGCCGCGGCGCCTCCGCCGCGACCTCTCCTAAGGTCGCTGTCCCCACGGCCTGGGCTGAAAACCTCACCTGAGCCTGGCGAGCGGGAGCGGGGGTGGTTCTCCGGGGAGACCTCGTCCTCCCCCCGCCCGCTCCCCGCTCGCTGCGGGCCGCCTCCCGGGAGACTGCGAGGCCCGCGCTGCGGGGGCGGCCGGCCGGCCCTGCCGAGGGACCCGGGGAAAGCGCACCGGGAAGCTGCGCCTGCACTTGGCCCAGAATGATGGCTGCCACTTATGGAGTCTTCCATTGGTGCCAGGACCTTGACAGTCTAAGGTCTGTGACCCTTAAACCTTACAAGGTTTTACTGTGCCCTTTTTATAGGTAGAGAAACTGAGTCAGCTCAGGGAGGCCCGGTGACTTGCTCAGAGCCATGTAGCCTGGTCCGAAGTTTCTGACCCATTCTCCCGAACTTGGATGGGAAGTACAGGGTCCTGAACTGCCCGTGCCTGACGGTGTCACGTTCCCATACCATAAATTCCCCGGCTCCCGCTTCTATCCTCTGTAAGATGGTGCGAGCAGAATCTGATCCAAAGACTTTGTACAACGCCTGGCGCATAGTAGGTGCTCAGGAAACGTGGGCCAAATCTGAATATCTACTTACCTCTGTTAACTTCAAGCCACAGGGAAGGAAGAAAAGAGTAGTTAAGGCAGTGCGGAAGAGGCTAGTTTCTCCTGGGATATTTGGCCTAGCAGTACCTTGCAACACTACTGGAGGCCAAGTCACACCTGTAATTTTTTGGCTTCTTTACTCCAAGTGGGCAAGTACTTTGAGAGATTAGTTACCCTCCCTCCACTTGGAGGCATTTTTTGTCCACCTTCTGCACCCACCCTACCCCAAGGACTTATCTTTCACTGATACTCTGGGTGTAACTTCAAAGCTGAACTTGCCTAGCGGCATAGGCATCTTATCAATTCCTGCTTCCTTGCTTGGGGGGGAAAAATAGTTATCTAACTTTATTAGGAAAATTATCAAACATACTATAATAGCAGAAGAAATGCTATAATGAACCCCCAAGTACTCATCTTCCAGCTGTGACAGTTATCAGAATCTTGCCATTCTTATTTTATCTTCCCCACCCCCAATATATAGACATACAGTGGAGAGTACAGTTATTTATTGTTCAAACGGCATAGCCCGGAACGCGGCACATAGTAGGCATTCACAAAAACTTTCATTTGCTGGTGTGGATGGAAGATAGGTGGGTGGGTAGGTGTGTGGATAGATATCACTAGTGGTACTTTGGGATGCCTTGTGCCAATACCCTAGTCTGATGGGAGATGTAACCTAAATTCTCCCTTTGTATATCTAAGCAATACCTCCACCTGGCCTCCACAAAGGAGAAACTGTTGAATCATTCAAAATCTTAGTTAAACAAAAAGATTTTATTTTAAAATCAAAATGTGTTAATAATGTGTCTCTAGTGTTTGAAGGGGAAGGGAAAAGGATAGCTCTCCCCCTGTTGATCTCCCTTTGTAGCTTTCTTTTTTTATATATATATTTTATTGATTTTGTACAGAGAGGAAGGGAGAGAGATAGAGAGTTAGAAACATCGATGAGAGAGAGTCATCGATCAGCTGCCTCTTGCACACCCCCTACTGGGGATATGCCCGCAACCAAGGTACATGCCCTTGACCGGAATCGAACCCTGGACCTTTCAGTCCCCAAGCTGACGCTCTATCCATTGAGCCAAACCGGTTTCGGCCCCTTTGTAGCTTTCTTAACTCCTTTCTCTTGTTTTGAGTCAGCCTGGCATGGATTTATTAAGAGACAGCTGTAATACACTCAAATATTATTTAATTCCTCAAAAATAATTCTTTCACTACATGGACTTCCCATGGGCCTTTTGCTCCCTCACCCTGGCATTTGTGCTCTCCCCAATCCACCCCCATTTACTAATCTAACAATTTCTCCTTAATCCCTGGCCTCAGATCTCACTAATATTCCCAAATAAGGAATTCCCAGGCCTTCATTTTTTGATAGCCTCCTGGGGACAGTCCTTGGAGTCTGGATTATATGAAGCCCACCCCAAACTCTTTTTTAAAAATATGTTTTTATTGATTTGAAAGAGAGAGGAAAGGAATGGGAGAAAGAGAGAGAAAAACAGTAATCAGCTGCCTTCTGCACACCCGCTACTGGGGATGGAACCTGAAACCCAGCATGTGCCCTGACAGGGAATCCAAGCAGCGTCCTTTTAGTGTATGGGATGATACTCATCCGAGCCACACCTGCCAGGGTCCATCCCAAACTCAAAGTACATGATGATTCTTCACTTCTTTTAGTCCCTTTAAGCATGTATTTTTCACTCTCTTCTTTTAATACCTCATTATTTATTGGAATGCATTCAATTATGCCACACACACACACAAAAAAAGTCTTGTTTCCCCATCCCTGCCTTACTCTCTTGTTCTCCTTCCATTCTTGAATTTATCTTTAAGCTGACTTAAGCCAATTGACATGGTGGGCTTAACATGGAAGTCACTGTGTTCTATGCTCTTCTTCAATTTCCATAACAGTGCTGGTTAATACAATGGATAACCACAAATTCTTGAAAAATGTGAGTCTCATTTGCTACTGTCCCTGTAATGGGCATCTTATCTTAACCTCCCTGAGCCTGGGAACAGTTTGCATGGAGGAGGATTACGCAGAAAAAATCACAGGCTTCCTTAGACCTTAGCCTAGAAAGAAGGTGAGTTCAAACACCTGAAGAAGTTTAGTACAGCTGGTGAGAGAAAGGGGTTGAAATTGCAGGGAAAGGAGGAATTATAAACATTATAAACATGTGGGACTTTATCCTCCAACTAGGATGCTGTCTAGATCTGCTTTTGTGCATTGACAAGGGTTAAAAGCTGACCCTTTTTCTTGGTCATCTCCAACGGCTTCTCGGAGACCACTTAGTAACCTCCCTACAAGCTCTGGTCTTCAGAATTCTACAAGGAGTTTCCTCACAGTTAAGACCCCTCCTTTTTTTAAATTCTCACCCAATGATATTTTCCCCATTGGTTTTTAGAGAGATTGGAAGGGAGAGGAAGAGACACATTGATTGGTTATCTCCTGAATGCTCCCAACCAGGAACTGGACCCTGCAACTAAGGTATGTTCGCTTGACCAGAATTGAACCAGCAACCTTTTAAGTCCCCAGGCCAATGCTCTATCCACTGAGCCAAACTGGCTAGAGTGAAACCCCCTTTCTTTGGCAGTCCCTTTAAGATGGCCCATGGCTGGCTTTCTCTTCCTAGGTTTGGTCTACAGGAAACACACAGATGTCCTTTATCTGCACATACTCTAGGGCAGTCATTTTCTCACCAGCATGGCTGCATTCAGCACGCCACACTTCTTCACCTTGAATGTTTTCTAGTCTGAGCCAGTAGATAAATGTCAAGTGCTCAGACCAGTTGTCTTTTCAAAACTCTTTTTACAAGACTTGAGGTGATGAATACAATTTCTTTAGCAAAAGACAAAGACACAGTTGTATTTGCAGAACAGACTTCAAAATATGAGAGTAGAGAATGGCTAGGAGCAGAGACAGGTGTTCCCATCAGCAGAGGAAGGATGATCCTGTTATCTGTATTTTACAAAGGTAAAGTAACTGGCAGAAGCCAGGATCAAACTGAGATTCCTCTGACTGTCCAACTTAGAGTCACTATTGTCAGTGTGCTACAGGTATAAATAATAATTTACATAACATGTGAAAGTGAGCCTCAGTAGACAGGTCTGGTAAAGAAGCAAAAC